AGGTTATTTATATCTGAGGATTACTTTAGCTGCATCCTACACATTTTGATTAGTAAATATTTTCTTCCTTACATAATGTTTTCTTCTTTAATCTATGCGTTATTTACAAGTGTGTTTATTTCCAAATACAAAGGTTTTCAAGTCATCTTTCTATTATTGATTTCCAGCTCAATTGCACTGAGGTCTTAACATGAATGTGTCATAATTTTGTCTTTTGAACCTTATTGAGACTTGCTTTATTGACCAATATGTTTTCAACATATTTACAAATTTCATGTGGGTTTGAAAAGATGTGAACTCTATAGTTTTGGAGTATAGTGTTTTATGTGTGTCCTTTAGATTAACCTTTTTGCATCGTTGAAATCTCCTAGAATCTTTACTGATTTGTACTTACTTGATCTAGTAAATACTGAGAGAATTACTTAAAATCATTCATGATGACGAATTCATATGTTTTTCTGAATAGTTCTGTCAATTTTTGTTTTATATTTTTAAGGTTATGTTACTAGAAGCACAAATTTTAGTGCTTGATAAAATTTTTTCAATTTAAAATTTTAATTGATTTAAATTTTTAAAATCATTATATAGTGACTCCCTTTGATCTTAAGTAATGTTTTTTAACCAAAAATCAAATTTTTTACATTAAAATTACTTCATCAGATTTCTTTCAGTTAGCACTTTTCCAACATATCTTTTCCCATACTTTTCCTTTCACCTTTTCCATGCCGTTTATAAGCTGATACAGTAATCCACTCTAATAATCCTTATCTTTTAGTTGGCATATTTAGTCTAGTCACATTTACTGTAATTTGTGACATACCTGGGATTTTGTGTTTTCTATTCCATGCTTCCATATCTCTGTTTTCTCCTTTCTTGTCTTTTTTTCTTTGATTGATTACATTTTCTCATTCTATTTTTTCTCTCCACTAGTTTGAAAGGAAATCCCATTTCTCTCATCCTGATGATGATCCTGGACATTGTATGATGAATTAGCTCGTCAACTTTCCCAGGAAATTAACACATGAACTACTGAAGTCTGTGCCTCAAGTCTCCCTCTCTATTTTTATATGCTTTTATGGTTAGGAATTTATCCTCTCTTTCTGGTTTTGCTCTTATAATACACCCTTATACTGTCTTATACAGTCAGTGCTTGCTTCAATCTGCGCACATGGGCACCACCCTCCTGTTCTTCCTTCTATATCCCCACTCCAAGTCCCCACCTGGAATTCCCTTCCTTCTGCATGAAGTCCTTTAAAATTTCCTTTTATAAAACTCTCTTTGGGTTCTCAGCCTTATGTAGTTTTTAGTCTCTCAGTATTCCTTAATTTCCTGCTGTCTCACTGATATATCATAACAGGTTTCAGATAGTTTATCTTTGCATTTTTGGCTGTTAGCAGCAGAATGACTGATTGGTTACTGGTCCCTTGTATTTTTGGAAACAGAAGAAACCATATACTTGGTAGCAGAATTCCCCATTAGACTCTAAATGCCAAGGGGATGGGAACCATGGTGGCTCTTCTGTTTTCTTCCTTATAACAGGTTGTTAATATGGAACTCTTTCTGTCTGCAAGAGTTGAGGTCCCAAAACAACAGGGTGCCAACTATACCCAAGTCCCAAAGTGAGATTCCAGGTGACCTAGGCAGCATCGCAAGGGAGGTGTCAGAGACAAGAGATGCTCAAGGCTGAGAGAAGGGTCTCCTTGAAGGGGCTGTGTTGTGAGCCCGATGCCCCCACCCGTACCAGGAAAGGAGCGAGGGCTGGTATCTCTCTACACTCAAGAAATCCAAAAGACAAAGGCAATGCCTGAAGCTCCCAGTAGGCACCCAGCCTTCACCAACATGGTAAGTGCTACCTGCCAACCTGGTGGGTCGAAGGTACATGTTTCCTAGAGAGCAGGTAGGGCCACAATGCCCCAAAACTGGCCTGGGATGTGTCAAATCCTCCAAATCCTCCTAGAGACATGAGCAGAGGCCTCAACAAAGGAGGCTAGAGGTACCATCTGACACCTGAGGCTAAGAAAGGAGGTGTCAGGGACCAGTTTTGGAGAGGATGGAGCACCAGTGTTACCAACTGCAATAGAAGACCCCTGGGTCCCCCACTGAGCCCTGCCTGCTAGCTTATGGCAATGCTGCTCACCTAGGACCTCACTGAACCCTCACCTCTCCTCCCTGCTGCTGCTCTGAACCCAAAGGGCAGGAAACCACAGCTACCACTGGGGCAGGACCAAGAGGAGAAGCATCCCTTGAGCCCCAGCCCTCCTGCCTGCGGCAGCCCCACGTGAGAATGAGGAGAAGGCTCACACTTGAAAGACAGGTCATACTAATACCAAGCTCAGCCTGCTTAGGGAGCCAACGTGAAGAGGGGGAGTTGGGGGGAGAGATACTGAATTCTCTGGAAGGGACCAGAAACATCGGGCCTGTCCTGGTTCTTCCAGGGGTAGTGGGGGAGCCAGCCACAAAGGAAGTTTGCTGGGGCAGGGAGAGAAAAAAATCAAAGCTGTTCTGTGTTGACCCTGAGTTCTGGCTCCTTCTCAGTCCTGAGCTGACGCAGGAACCAGGAGGGAGGGAGTGAATCAGTGCATGCACGGACCAATGAATGCCTGCTCCTCTTCCTGGAAGTAATTTAGATATGGCAGGAGAAATAAAACGGCACATAAAATAATCAAGGATGATCTGACGACTGCTGAGGGACCTTCCTGGGAGCTGGGGTCAGAAGCTGGTGGCCACAGATGTTAGGACAGGGCAAGTGCTCCATCCCGAATGACTCAAAATTACTGCGTCTTTGCTGGAAATGCCCCCAGGGAGCCATCTTCCAGAAAGTGTTAGTGATGGAGAGGAAGGGGTAAGGGAAGGTGGTTCCAGGAGCAGATGAGGAGGTAAGAGGCAGCAGTGACCCACATCCCTGGGGGGTGAATCCACTGGATGCTCCACATGAGAGGAGAGGAGGCAGGTCCCAACCCTCCTGCCCCCAGAGGGCCCTTCTCAGTCAGCTTGAGCCGCCATAATGAGACACCTTGCCCAGGTGTTTAAACAACAGACAGGTACTCCTCACATGTCTGGAGCCTGAGGTCCAAGGTCAGGGCAACTGCAGATTCGGTTTCTGGTGAAAGCTCCTTTCCTGGCTTACAGACAGGGACAGCCCTCTAGTGACTCTTCTCAGACGGACACTAATCCTGTGGGGTTGGGTCCACCGCAGGGCCAGATTAAACCTTAATACTCCTAGGGACATCTTCAAACACAGCCACACGGGGGTAAGGGCCTGTGAGTGCATTTGGGGGGGGGGTGCAAACATCCAGTCCGTGACAGGGCTCCTCAAGAGGAGGGTAACTCTGGTGACAACTAAAAATAGGTACAATGCAGCTAAGCAACCACATATGCCCCAGTTGTGGGTCACAAGCCCATCAAGGAGCACTGCCCTCCTGACATGCTTCCCAGCCATTGGAGGCTCTGGGGACACACCCTCCCACCAGGGGAGCAGGGACCCAGATCCACCCCTGCAGGGCTCCATAGTGTGTGTGCGGAATTGGACCCCACAGGCTGAGCACAGAGAACACAGAGGGATGGGAGGCCCGGACACGATCCACGGGCAGCCCTGTTCCAGGGTGAGAAATCTCCACGTTCCCACAGAGCCCAAACTGCTTTTCCACTTCCCCTTCCCTCTGGGTTTTGTTCACTGACACTGTTCCCCTCTCTGACACTTCTCTCCACAGCATCAGGAGCCCTGACTGATGCTCCTGTCTGAAGGACTCACAGGGTGGACGCAGCGGGCGGACCTTGGGCTCTTCGTCACCTGTAAGCAGTGCTTCTCCACCACAGGTGCTTGTCCCTCTGGCCAGTGAGTCTCCCAGAGGAGCCCACTCTCCAGAGCTTCTGCCTGGAGAAAGGGGCCCTGACTGACCACTGGGCTTAAGTGAGGGGGTGCTGGGGCTCTTTGGACCCCCACATCCTGGGGGAACCAGCTTTGCTCTGGCCCCACCTCAAGGGCCTTTTATGCTTCTCCTCTTGCCCCACCTTCTCCCCTTTTGTCAGCCCTCAATTTCCTATTTTGCGAACAGTGAAATTCACAGTCGTGGAAAATCCCAATCTTGTGTTGGAGCAGAGGGGCTGATAACAGAAGCACTGGCCCATTGCCTATGTAAAATCCAGATAAATAAAATTTTAAAAACCCTGCGGCTTTCAAAAATCCACAAAAGCCAACACTAAAGTAAATATTACAGGCAAATTTTGAGGCCTTATTACCCTTTGAGGCTGAAATTTTCCAGGTCACATCCTTCCCAAAGGTAACATTTTATGGAAGCTTTAATGAAATTAGCTCATCTATTTCTGAGTCAGGAAGCACAGATTAAGATCCAATTTTTGTAGCCTGACTTTTTTCTAACTACACAGTGGAAATGAATCCAGGAAATTTTTAGAATTTCCTCTAAAATGTACAGCTCGAGGGGGATCACAAACTTCAGAATCCCTGGTAGAAAAGTCATTGTGGAGAAATCAAGTTTGTTGGACCCTAACCGTGACAGTCGCCATGTAGCTGTGAGCTTTGACTGACGGGCCTGCCGCAGGACCTCAACTTGCCTCTAAAGGCTCAGGCCGACATGAAGGGCGTCTGCTTGCACCAGCGGGAGGCGTGAGGTAGCATCTGGTTAAGAAGAGCTAGGCATTCAGGCCAATACTAGGACAGTTGCCTGAACTCTTGGAAACACTAGATCGGAGCCTTTCTGAGACCACCAACACCGGCCTGGCCGGGCACAGCTCGATCCGTCCAGAGAAGAAGTGACCTTGTCCCCTCCCAACCGCCCAGCCAGGAGGTCAGGTTGGCGAGGGTGTGTCCGTAGGAAGAGGTGAACCACCAACCCCACCTAGGGCAGCCCCAAACCTAGCCCAAGCTGTCCAAATGGGCTCAGTGGAAGCTGGGGTCACCATCTATAACAGAAGTGCTTCACAAAGGCAAGTCCGGGACCACGCCTTCCATGTGTCCTGGCACCCACTCCATGGTTCTCCACCACACTTTGCACGACTTTCTCAACTTCATCACATCACAAACCTCCTGAAAAAGCACCCCTGTGCTACACGACTTCTAAAATGTTCTAAGTCATCCCAGTAAACTGACCTCAACACCACTGGGATTCAGAGTGACCACCAAATAGCCCCAGTCATGGGGGTGGGGCCTTCTTGAGGGCGACCCAAGGAGGGGTCCATGAGAGGTCTGTGCAGTGCCCCTCCTGGTGCAGAAACCTGGGCACAGCCCCTAGTCTCCTTGAAGTCCCCAAGGACCCAGTCATCAGCACTGAGCCCACAGTTAGTTGGGAATAATACAGACTCAAACCCACTCACAGGTCCCACTGGCTGGGTAACTACTGATTTTTAATTTAAAAAAGTAATTCAAAACCCCTGAGATGTTGCTCTCAGCTTCTGCTCAGAACACAAGCTGGGAAGACCACTGTCCTACCTTCCAACAAAGTGTGGTACTATCTTCTGATCTGTGGGCTTTCTTGGCCCATCAGACACCCAAGGTTGAGGGCAACCAAGAACCCAAATCTAAGATACCGGAGCTTCGAGAGAGAGCCATGAGCCAGACGTGTGGACACTGGGAAAGAGAATGCAGACAACATTCAGACGCGGTGATGAACGTGACCGGCTAGAGGACACAGGAGCCTGTGGTTATGCAGGTTGGGGGACAGGAATCTGCTCTACATACAGCTGCCCACAGAGGAAAGAGAGCCATGAGAGGGTCCTGGTGCAGGCCAGGGGAGGGCACCAAGCCCTGTCCCCCGAGGGCCTGGGGATCCCCAGTGCTGCTGGGGAAGGAGCACAGAATCCCTCTGTCCCTGGGGAAGGGGCCCGGACCTAGGAGGCTCCACCTGAGACACAGGACCTGGGCAGCGAGGAGCCAAACCCTTAGACAGGCTGGGGTAGGGGGCTGCCTCAGCACAGCCCACAGACAGCACCTGCCCCTCACCTCCTCTGGGAAGCCCACCAGCCCACAAGACCCTCCTGGTGACCTCCACTGAGGGCCACCCCACCCCATGGCACCCACCATTCTCTGCCACCCTCCAGACTACTTTTTCGCCACCAGCCACGGACGTCTGGGTGATGGACGCCTGATGGCACCCTTTTAACCCAAAGAAAAAGGGGGTGGTTTAGTGAGGAGGACTGACCTGGGCTGAGTCCTGGGTGAACTCCAGGCTCGGGCTGCAAAATCCCACAGGCCCGTGTCGGGGACGGAAGACGCAGGTAGCATGGGGAGGCATGGAGGCACAGGGGAATAGGGATGCCCAGAGGGGTCCTGGGCATGGCCGATGCCTTGGCTACCAGCCCCCAGGACCAAGCCTGGCTCAACAGACCTGACGGCCATATAGCCTAGTGTGCTCGGCCTCCCATTGAGGGCAGGCGGCCTTTACCTCATGGCTCAGGACCAGCCTGGACTACCCACAGGGGTCCATGCCCCAGAGCAGAGTGAGGACATACATGGGTGGGCTCCCAGGGTTCTGGGATATGGGATGGAGGTTGAAAGGAAACCCCATGTAGAGCCTTCACACACAGAGCAGGCTCTCCGAGGCCAGCAGTGATCAAAGGATCTAGGATTCCCACTCCGTAAGAGAAATGGAGGCCAAAGTGGGTTCTTTGGAGGGGCCAGATGGTGAGGTGCCCAGCTGGAGTATCCACTGGGCAGAGTTGTCCACAGGCCCCTCATCTTCCCTCACAATGGGCTCTCTGGAGGAAGTCGGGGTTGGGGGATGGCTGAGTCCTCGGGAAAACCACCCTCCCTCTCCTGGGGGGCTGGAGAAGGCCGGCAACACACACTGGCTGAGTCACACCTCAGGCACATTTGGATTTACAAGGAGCCCAGGCCTGGCCAGTCATCTCAGGGCAAACTGCTCCCACCAGTGTGGGAGGTGGGACAGACCTGGGTCCACAACGCCCCAGGGCCTCAGCCCTGGCCCACTGTCCTCACTGCAGCCCAGACATTTTGTTCAGCAACATGAAGAAGATGTGCAGAACTTGACCTCCAAAGCCTTCAGGCAGAGCATGGACTCTGCTGTTGGCCACAGCCCCCACCACTCCCTAGTGGGCATACCTGCCCCTGTACACATTCATTTTACTCACTCCCAAAGACACGTAGTAAGTCATGATTCTGTAAGTTCAGACTTAATTCAAGATGATGGCAACAGTCACAGGCTCCGAAATAGGGTGGTGACAGTCACATTTCTTTCCCCAGGAGCTGAGCCAGGCCACAGGGAGAATAAGCCTGGCCTAGAGCCTCAGATGTAGGACAGCACCGCCCCCAGCTACCATGAGGGTTTGACACGCGCCGGGGACCCCCTGCGCAGACGGGCTGCTGCTGGGCCTGGCTCACAGCGCCCCCGGGGACAGGCAAAGCAACAACACGGAAGGTTGGCCGCTCAGCAGTTATGCCAGCGAACGGGGAACATGGCCTTCTGAGCTCAGCCATCCTGCTCCCCCACGGAGCAGACCTGCCTGGTCCTCTGAAGCCCTGAGGCTGTGAGCCAACCTGCCCCTCCCACAGAGCCTCTGGTCCATCAGCATTCAGTGACTGCTCCTCTAAATGACCACCAAAGACAGGGGTTGCAAACCGGCCCCCCAGCAAAGTAGGGTGAGACCCAGGTGAGACCAAGGTGGGCACCGGCGACGCCCAGCCGGGCCCACGTGGGCACAGGTCAGGGCACGGGCGGTGCCCAGCCGGGCCCACGTGGGCACAGGTCAGGGCACGGGCAGCGCCCAGCCGGGCGCATGTGGGCACAGGTCAGGGCACGGGCGATGCCCAGCCGGGCGCACGTGGGCACAGGTCAGGGCACAGGCGACGCCCAGCCGGGCACACGTGGGCAGAGGTCAGAGTCCTACCTTGGAAGAAGCTCTTCACCCTGAGGTAGCTGACGCTGAGACGCAGGACAGAAAGCTTGTCTAGCTTAGACACAATGTCGGGAGGAAGCGGCAGCAGGCTGGCCAGGTGGTCCAGCTCGGCATTGAGCCGGTCCCGGTGCCTCTTGGAAGGGTTTGACTTCTCGGCCCCCGTGGCGGGCCTCCTGCAGGGAAGCAACCACAGTCAGACTCGGGGCTCCCCACCAGTGTCCGTCACCCCACGGGCTGCAAACCCATCCCCAGAAATGACCTTACGGTGCGATCAGCTTCTAAATGAAAAAGGTGTTGAGAAGGACAAAAGTCTCCTGATCCTGGGATGCAGGGTGGCTCAGTGAGTTAAGCGTCTGCCTTCGGCTCAGGTCATGATCCCAGGGTCCTGGGATCGAGTCCCACATCGGGCTCCCTGCTCCGCGGGAAGCCTGCTTCTCCCTCTGCCTGCCGCTCCCCCTGCTTTGTGCTTGCTCTCTCTCTAATAAATAAATAAAATCTTAAAAAAGAAAAAAGTCTCCTGATCCTGTGCACACAAGGAAGCAGGGACCCCATTACCAGGAAGGGCACTCAGAGACAGACAGCAGGCCTCTCGGGAACACGGCTGTGAGCAAGCTATGTGGCCCCAGCACATTTCTTGACCTCTCTGTGCTAACTTCCTCCCCTCAGCCTGTTTCAGGCTTTTTTTAAACAGACGACCTTTTTGGGACCTGCGGTATAGGTGTGACTGGCCTCTCTGGGCTCAGTTTCTCCTCTACATGGCGGGGCTGAAAGGGGCCAAGGAAAGACTAATAATGGAGGACCCTTGGGTGCCTGGGCACCATCCCGCCCGCCCGCCCCTCAGAGGCCCTGAGGTCACAGGCTGTGCCACTGTGAGGCAGCTGGAGCCCTGGGTCCTGTCTCCCCTTGCTCCACAACAGACCAGCTCTCCCCCACAGGGGGGATCCCCCAGCCCAGGGCTTCCCTGTCCACCATCCCTGCACAGAGCAGAGCTGACCCCAGACCCCAGCCGCTTCCCAGTGACCTCCCTCATCTGACTCTCTTAGCCCCCAGGATGACCGTTCCCTTCCTCTGACCTTATGTCCCCCTCACAGAAGCAGCTCCTTACAGGCCCTTCCTAAAGGTCAACCACATAAAAGCATCTGAAGCTAAAATGAGTCAGGGGAGGAGGCTGTTGGCAAGCTTGGCAATGGTGTGGCCTGACTCCCAGGGCCAACCCTCCCTGGGGTCACGGTGCCTGGCAGGCGGGAGGGCTCCTGCTGTTTTTAGGGGCTGGGGTCTCTTTCATCCAGAAGCTCCTACTTGTCACTTACAAGGGTGGTGAGGTCAGTCTGTCTGTGAGAAGGAGGTGCACAGCACAAATCTGTTTTGCAGAGTCTGAGGGCCCAGGCCACAGAAAACACACAAAAGCCTGCCGCTCCAGTCCCCGAGGCCACATCTTTGTCTCTCTTTGTTTTGGGGATGCTTTTTTTTTGAGGTATAATTCACATAACACTATTTCAAAATGTACATTCACAGTGCTGTGTACCCACATCTCTATCAAGCTCCCAACCGTTTCATCACCCCAAATAAAACCCTGTACCCATTTATCAGTCTCTTCCTGTTTTGCCCTCCACCAGCCCCTGGCAACCACATGTGGCCTTACGTCTCCATGGATTAGCTGTTCTAGACATTTCATGCACCTGGAATCCCACAATGTGAGACTTTTTGCATCTGGCTTCTTCCGCGTAACATCATGTTTTCAGGATTCACCTGTGGTGTAGCACTAGTCAGGACAAGGTTCCTTTTCCCAGGTGTGTGGACAGACCACACTGTGCCCCCTGTTCCCCAGAGGACGGGCATCTGGGCATCGTACAGAATGCTGCAGCAAACACTCAAGGTAAGACTTTGTGCGAACCTCACTTCCAGTTCTCTCGGGCACATGCCCAGGAGCGGGCAGCTGTGTGCTCACCCGTTCTACTCTCAGAGGAGCTGCCAGACCACGCGCCCACCAGTGCCCCCACTGGCAAGACAGAGGGTTCCGTGGTCCACATCCTCAACAACACATTATTTTCCTTTTCCCATAGAACAGCCGTTTGCACAGGAGGGAAGTGGCATCTCACCGTGGTTTGATCTGTATTTCCTTAATGACCAAAAATGTTGAGCATCTTTTCGCAAGTGTCTTCTTTGGAGAAATGTCTACCCAAGTCGTTGCCCATTTTTTCATGGGGTTATTATTTGTCATTTTAATGTTGAGTTACAGGAGTCCTTTATATTGTATACCTTTACCAGGTATGCTATTTACAAATATTTTGCCCATGCCTTTGATTGTCTTTTCACTTTCTGCTGGTTTTCTTCCTTAATGAGCCACTTGCCCCCAAACCACTCCTGTTACTAGCCAAAATGTAAACTGGCAGAAGGCCTGGGGACAAACTGAGTGGCTCCAGTGGGGCTGGCGCTTGCTGGCGGGAGGAGAGTCCCCCCGCCGCTGGCCCGTCAGTGAGACACCCAAGGTCTCCCCAGAGACAGGGCACTACCCAGGGCAGGTGTGGGGGTCAGAGAAGGGGAGACAGTGGGAGACAGGCAGATGGCCCCAGCTGAAGTCTCACCTATGTGTAGGGTTGGGGGGAGCTGCCCCCTGCCTCCCCCGACAGCCTGTGCCTGAGAATGAGCCAAGCGGTGACTGCTCCCCACCTCTACCCCAACCCCTACGGGGTGCCTGGGGGAGGGACACTAGCCTGCTAGAGAGATGGATGTTGGAAGAGCCCCTTCAAAATGTCTCACAGCACCGGCTGCCCCCTGATGCATCTCTACCACCCCTCTCCCCAGCCCCATGGGCCAGAGCGGGAACCATCCTACCCCATGCCCTCATGCAGGAGAAGCACCCCACCAAGCTGGCCTCACGTGGGGTGGAGGAAGCTCCAAGTCCCTGGGCAGAGACTCAGCAGGAGGGGATCGGGGATGAGAGACCAGGGCCATTAGCAGCACGGAACAGTGCAAGAAGGCTGGCTCAGACAGAAGCAAAATACAGAATACCTGGAGCAAACCAGGCAATGCTCCCCCAAAACTGACCTACGGGACAGAGTCAACGTAATCGCAATTAAAATGCCAGCAGGACTTTTTACAGAAACTGACACGCTGATTCTAAAATGTACATGGAAATACAAAGGACCAGGAATAGGCAATTAAAGAAGAACAAAATTAGAGGATGTATCCTTTTGATTTTAAGCTTTCTATAAATCCACAACATTCAAGATGGTTTGGTATTACAGGAAAGACAGACGTCTACAACAAAGGAACAGAGTAGGCAGTCTAGAAACAAACCCACATTTTTGGCCAACTCATATGACAAAGATATTATGGCAGTTCAACAGGGAAAGAAAGTCAACTGGACACCCATGAAAACAAGTGAACACCAGCCCTCACCTCACACAAGCCCCCAAAATTAACTCAAAGTGGATCACAGACCTAATCTACAGCCTACTCTAAAACTTTAGAGGAAAATACAAGAGAAAATCTTTGGGACCTTTGGGATAGTCCCAGGACACTTAGAAGACACACCCACACTCAAAATCATAAAAGAAAAAATTGATAAATTGATCTTCATCAATATTTTTAAATGTCTTTTGAAAATCACCATTAAGAAAATGAAAAGGGGGTTCCTGGATGGAATGTGCAAGTTTTGACTTCAAAGCTGTGAGCTGGAGCCCCACACTGGGCGTAGAGATTACTTTAAAAAAAAAAAAAAGACAACAAATGAAAATGGAAGCCACAGATTGGGGGACAGTGTCCATAAGAGCTTATATCCAGAATACATAAAGAAGTTTTATAATTCAATAAGAAGACAAACAATCCAATATGAAGAAAGCCAAATTATTTAAACAGACTCTTCACCAGAGAAGATATGTGGACGGCAAATAAGTACATGAACAGATGCCCAGCACCGCTCAGGAAGGGCGGACGAGAGCCTCGGGGAGGCCACCCCGCAGCCTGTTGGAGAGCTAGCCAGGAGGCGCTGCTCGGGAAGGAGGCAGAGGAGCTGAGCTCCGTGAGCAGCTGCTGGGAACATAGATGGTACAAAGGCTTTGGAGATCAGCTTGATGGTTCCCTGAAAGTAACTCGCATGTGCTGGAGAAGTCGAAAACCCCACTCCACACAAAGCCTTGTAAGTAAACGTTCATGGCAGCTTTACTCGTAACGGCCCAAACCTGGAAGCACCTGATGCCCGTCCACAGGTGACTGAACAAAGCAGTGCATCCGAACGCTGCAGCTCCGCTCGGCTGTAACCAGGAGCACACTCGATGCACACAAGCTGCAGCTGAATCTCAAGATCATGCCCAACAAAATGGTGTATGATTCCATTTACAGAAAATTCCAGAAACACAAGGCAGACTACCAGACAGAGCACATCAGGGCTGCCTGGATGGAGGTGAAGGCAGGAACGGCACACAGGACACTCTGGGTGGGATTCGAGTGTCGGTGACCTTGATTTCGGTGATGTTCCATGTGCTTACACGTGTCAAACCTGACCAGACTGTGCATCTACACACGCACAGTTTCCATCTCCTTCAGTTACAGCCCAGTGAGGAGAAAAGTGCAAGCAACAAACACCTCCAGGAGCTATGGTGCCATCCCTGGAGAGCAATCAGACCCCCATGGGGTTTGGCCTCCAGTTTTCCTAGAGAGGTGTTCTGCTCACAAGCACACAGCCAGCAGCTCCCCTGGGGCAGACGGACACACAGACATGCCTGGTGGCCGCCTCCCTGCACCTGGAACGCAGAGCCAGGCAGAGAGGGTGTGCTGGGCGCATGCATCGGCAAACACCCAGCGACTGTTCAAGTTACCCCATAGTCTCTCATCACCAACCCCCCACCCAGTCCCCAAGCTTAAATGCCCAACACCCTCTCAAGCCAGTGAGGAAGAAACCGATTGTCAACAGTGTTAGGAACAAGCAGTGGTCATGGGAAAAGAAGAGACAGATTCAGACCCTAACCACAAACCAGGAAAAATTCCAAGTGCTTGAAAGTTTAAAATATGTATTAGGGACCCATAAAAGTTTACAGAAAATACTGGAAATTCCCTCATAAGCTTATAGCAGGGAGATTTTCCGAACTGCGATGTAAGATTAATTAGCTACCAGGGAAACGGTTAATAAATCCAACCTCATAAAAATTAATTTTTCCGCATAGCAAAAAACATGATAAGTAAAATCAAAACTGGAGGAAAGTGTTTGACACAGATTCAGGAACTAGTGTGTCTAGTACAGAACTAGCTCCTAAAACTCAAGAAGCACCAAACACAAACAATCTGATAGAGAAATGAGCAAAAGTGATCAACATAGTTTGGAGAAAAGGAAATCCAGATGGTCTTCTAACCTGACTTACGGGAAGAACACAAAATGACCAAAGTCTGAAATGCAGCATGTGCACAGGGCAGGAAGGAGGCCTGTTCCAGCAGAGACGAGCATGCCCAGAATGCTGGGCAGCTGGTGGCACCCTTCACAGTCCTCAGGGCCCACACCCTCCAACAGAGCAGCCTCGTGGCCAGGAAAGCTGCCCGGGCGGGGCCTAACTCACCCTCTTGCAAGGCAATGACCAGCTGCTGTTCCATGGGTGCTGGCAGGAGGCATGAGTCTCCCATTACTCACCCCACGGCAGGCAGCATGCCCCTTCGCGTGTCTGCGTCATTTACCACGTCCCTGAGTCCCGTGGGAGCGACCCAGACAGGCCCCTGGCAGGTGCTGCTGTGTAGGGTCTGCAGCTGGGGAAGCCCAGCTTGGAGAGTCCACCACTTGCATAGTGAACAGTAAACAAGCTGCCCGAAGGGAGAGTCCACCTCTTTCCCCAAGTTTGCTCACTCCAAACACAACCTTGAGAGGCAGCCCAGGGAAGGGTGGCGCCAACACGAACATGCCAGGATGTGTGGCGCCCACGGCGGGCTGCTGTCCAATGGTGAGCACACATGCAAAACGACACAGGAGGCTCTGGGCGCTACAGGGCAGGCACAGGTGTGCACCCAAATGGAAGGACAACTGTGCAGACACCGTCACTCTGAACGGATGTGTGTCCGTACCTGCTGCTTTATGCAGGAGCCTCTCAGGACAGACTCACAAGAAACTATTCAAGCGGATGCCAGTGACTGGGCAGGAGGGACCTGCTGGGGGTCTGAGTTTTGAATCAGATGAACATGAGACTTCTTTAAAACATCAATAAATAAAATGAATTACTTTGTAATAAATGCCTCAAAAACTCATTATCTCAGACCCTGTTATTGGAACAAAAACATAATAAAAGCAGGAAAGTTAGCTCCCTTGCCCCAGATGGCCCAGCACACAGAAAATAGTGCACACAGATGTGTCCTGAGGATCTTCTTTCCTCACTCAACATGACAGTGTGTTCACCAGCACAAATCCTGTCCGGCACACACAAGCAGGACTGTGTTCCACCAAAGTGGTCCGCCCGACCCTGGACCCAGTCGTGGAAACTCCCAGCCTTCCACCTCGTCAGGGATGCACTCAGAGCTCTCCTGCCGCACTCTTCGCCTGCACAGCTGCGGAGGCCCACGGCGGCCACGCAACTAACTCAGGTGACAAACCCACTTTCCAAAGTCCAGCCTCTCAAGCTTCTGCTGTCTATCCTCAGGTGGTGGTGGCAGCCACATTCCTGCAGACCTCTCAGACTCCTGTAGCCACCAGGGGCCAAGAGGGCAGCCGGGGTCACAGAAACACAGACCCACCTACAGACAGCATTGCAGGTGCATCCCACATATTCATGTGCTCACACTCATTCAAACAGAGCTGTATTACACAGACACACACACACACATACCCAGAAGCCCAGCCGACAGTGGGACATGCTGTAGGACCCCCACTGGAGGAGCCAGACACAGCCCCAGGGCACAGAGGGGTAGCTCCAAACCCCCATAATTCCCGCCACCACTGCAGACTGCACACCTGAGTGTTCTGAATGCCCCTGGGCCAGTAGAGGGACTGTGTCCAGGGCATGAGGGCCACTGGTTCCCCTCCCTACTCTGTAAACCTCCTGGAGGCCCCCAGGCAGGGGGAGCAAGCCGCACACTGTGTCCGTCACGTGTGACAAAGCTCACAAATGGGCTGTGGTGTGCCCTCGCGAAGACAGGCTTTCACCAGGGCAGAGAGGGGCTCTGGTGCTCACTAAAAATCATGGTGACGTTTCAGGCCCCCATGTTGACTTCTGGCCCAAAGGTGTCACTCAGCTCTGACCACGCCTTCTAATCAAAGTTAGGAAAGCAGCCCAAAGCTATTAATAAAAGCTGCAGTAGGCTTCCAGCTCTGCAGCTCACCTGCAGCCCCAGACCCTTGTTCTGCTGCTATAGCTGCAAGTCCCCCTACCCATCAGGAAGACACAGCAAAGCCTCTCCTTCACTCACTTTGTTCTGAAAATTCACTCCTTTTGATGAAAACACAAGTACCTCCCCTTCAACATGTACAATCAGCAAAAACAGAAGACATGATACTTTACTGTTTCTGAACGGGCTTTCTTCTTTTCCTTCCAGCATACGTGCACTCCCCTGGTGGGATCATCATCTCTGGCCCTAAAAGAGAAAGGGAGCATAAAGTTGGTTATGTTGAAGGGCCCCCAGTGTCCACACGACTCCCCAGACCACCAAAGGCAGCAGCGTCAGCTAAGGTCTGCTATGCTAGTCAAGGAGTCCACAGTGACTCCACATTGGGGTCCCACTCCTTCATCACAAACTGATGACCCACCAAGCCTGCCAGTGTGAACCACTCACACCCTGTTTCACTCAGCAGGAAGATGCCGAAGGGCCCAGTGAGGACACACGGCCCTGGCCATGACATCTCCCCTTTGACCATCAGTATCATACTCCCCAAGCCTGACCTGAGGACCCGAGTCACTACACTCGTACAGAGAACAGCCCTGTGCTCTTGCAGTTGGTTCAGAAAGCTTACGGTAGATAAATATCCTGAGCCTGTCCTCAGAAAACAGAAGCCATTCCATGGCATCCATGAGCAGGACACACAGCTAAGGTACCAAAGAGCAGTTTGCTGCGTCAGGGTTCTGATGGGGCTGTTCCTCTGGCAGGGGCTGCACGTGTCCTCTCTTAGTGGTGTTTGTGGTAGGTCTTCTTCCTCGTCCCAACCCTCCCCTTTACGGCCCTGTGCTTCTGAGCCAACAGGCTTCCTCTTTTGTATGTAAAATCTCCCACTCAACTCCATAGCACTGGACTTCTACTTTAGCCACCAACTCGCAGCTGCCCCAAGCCCAGCTGAACATACCCACCAGCCTCCACCAGCAGTGCCGGACATGGCGCCTGTATCCAAGAGGAGGTCCCCAAGGAGTAGCCCAGGATCTGTGCCCTGAGGCTGGTCGGCTCACCCATCACCACTTTCAGATGCACCAAAATCTTGATTTTTCCATGCAGTGAGGGTATATGAGCCCTCACAAACGTCCTGCAGACCCGTGTGCTGTGACCACTCATTGCCAGGCACTGGGCCAACAGACTTGGAGCAGAGCTTAGGAGCCCTTACCTGGCCTTAAGAAGAGGTGTGTGTGTGAAGTGAAATATGTCATGAACATGCTTTAAATATAAGAAACACACTTTGAATATAAAGACATAAATAGGTAAAGCAAGTGGATAGGAAAATATACGCCATGCAAACAGTAATCAAAAGAAGCTGGGCTAGTTATGTGGGTATCAGACAAAGTAGACTTAAGAGGGTGCCTGGGTGGCTCAGTTGGTTAAGCGACTGCCTTCGGCTCAGGTCATGATCCTGGAGTCCCGGGATCGAGTCCCGCATCGGGCTCCCTGCTCAGCAGGGAGTCTGCTTCTCCCTCTGACCCTCTTCCCTCTCGTGCTCTCTATCTCTCATGCTCTCTCTCTCAAATAAATAAATAAAATCTTAAAAAAAAAAAAAGTAGACTTAAGAAAAAGGAATATAACCAGGGACAACAACATTCCTTTCTCAGTAATCAATAGAACAAGTAAACCAAAAACCAGGAAGGATTTAGAATATCCAAACAATAACAGACTTGAACTGATTGAGATTTATAGAACACTCCACTCAACAACAGCAGAATACGCATTCTTTGCACATGGAACATTCATCAAGATAGACCAAATTCTGGGACTTTAGAACAATCATCAACAAATTTAAAAGAATAGAAATCATACAAAGTATGTTTTGTGACAATGATGGGATCAAACTAGAAAGATATATGGAAAATGTCCAGATATTTGGAAAGCAACCCGCTTCTAAATAACCACGGGTAGAAGAGAAAGTCTCAAAGAAATTTAAAGTACTCTGAACTGAATGAAAATGAAAACACAACATAACAGATTTTGTGGGACACAGCTGACCAATACTTTGATGGAAACTGGTATTATTAAGCATTTATATTAGAAAAAAATAAATGATCTCAAATAATCTAAGCTTCCACTTTAAATAACTAGAAAAAGAGAAAATAAATCCAAATCAAGCAGAAAGGTGGAAATAATAAAGAAGAAAAATCAATGAAACTTAAAATAGAAAAATCAATGAACCAAAAGTTAGTTCTATGAAAAAATCAACAAAATTGATAAACCTCTAGCCAGACTGATCAAGAAATAGAGAAGACACAAATGACCAATATCAGGAATGAAAGAGGGGTCATCACTACAGATCCCACAGACATTAGAAAGAAAATAAGAGTATACAACCATGAACTTACCTGTTTTTCCCCACTCAAAATCCATATATTGAAGCCCTAATCCTCCATTGGAGGTGGGGCCTTGAAGAAAGTGATTAAGGTTAAATAAGGTCATAAAAGCAGAGCCCTGATCTATTAGAACAGTTGCCCCTATAAGAAGAGGAAGAGACACCAGGACTCTCTCTTCACCATGTATACAGAGGCATTGCAAACCAAGAAGAGAGATCTCCCTGGAAACCAAATCAGCAGTGTTGGGGAAGGTCATCAAGAAGACATGACCGCCAGTTGACCTGTGAGCTGGACCCAGGTACTAGGAAGCTCTTCACCACCCCCCCCCAACTCTCCTTGGTTGTGGGCTCCACTCACCTTTCCTGCTCCCAGCGGCTGCTCCAAGGACATAGCCTTGGGATGTGCATGATATATATGACTGAGCCTAGTTGAGGCCTCTTTATAGACTTTTAAGAGATGGCCAATGGGTACTGGATCCACTCATCTTTCCGCCACCTAAGACAGGCCTTTGTATGTAATTTCTCTTGGCTTATTCAAACTGTCACCTATCAACCTGGAGTGGCCACCTCTTTCTTGGTCTCTCCCTGCCCTCCACAAACAGGGGCCAGTTTCAGATCACACCTGGGAAGCTCCTGAGAAGCTTGTAAAACCAACAAGCAGGCACCTGGATCTTGGACTTCCAGCCTCCAAAACTATGAGAAATAAATGTCTGTTGTTTAAGCCCCCAGTATGGGCTTTTGTTGTGGTAGCCCAAGCAGACTGAGACAAATACTATCCCCACAAATCCAATAATTTAGATGAAATGGACAAATTCCTTGAAAGATACAAACTACCAAATTCACTCAGGAAAACAACTGTTTGGTCCTATTTTTTTTTCAACAATAAAAAACAAAACAAAACAAAAAAACACCTAGGCCCAGATGGTTTCACTGGTAAATTCTACCAATTTAAAAAAATAATAATAATACTGATTCTCTGAAACCTCCGGCAAAAAACTGAAAATAAAATTGAAAATTGACAACTCATTTATAAGTTCTGCATCACCCTGATACAAAAACCAGACATTTCAAGAAAACTACAGACTGATATCCCCCATGAACATAGACACAAACATCCTCAATCAGACATTAACAAGTGGAATCCAGCAATACAAATAAGGCAAAACATCATCACAAGTGAGGTTTATCCAAGAATTCAAGGCTGCTTCAACATCCAAAAATTGGTCATTGCAATTCACTACATTAATAAACTAAAGAAAAAAATACAATGACCATCTCCTACATGCAAAAAAGTATTTGACAAAAAAAGTATCTGAAGGGAGCTTAATTACCCTGATAAAGGGCCTCTACAGAAACACCTACACTAGCGTCACACCTAACAGTGAAGACCGAGCTCCTCCCCTGGGTCACAGACCCTGCACCCCCTTCCCACTCAGCACCACATGAGTGTCCTCATCAGGGCAATAAGACGAGGAAAAGCAATGCCATAATGTTGGGGAAGGAAGAAACAGAACTCCGCTCACAGACAACATGATTGTACATAGAGAAAATCCAGGAAAGTTTACTAAGACAAATCTCTTATAATTATTGAGTTCAGCAAGGTCAAAGGGTAAAAGGACAATGTACAAAAGTCCAGTGTGTTTCTGTAGACTAGCCATGAACAATCAGAACACAGATTTTTAAAAAGCAGAACCATTTACAATAGCACCAAAATAAAAATGAAATACTTCAGTATTTCAAGAGGTTTACTATGTGTATAACTGGGGCTCCAAAGAATAGGAGGTGAGAGAAAAAAATTAATAAATAGTAGAGATTTGTCCAAACATAACGAAAACTGTAAACTTAAAAGATTTAAGAAGATCAATAAACTGCAAGTTTAAATTACAGCAAGGCCATGCGTACTCCGATTGCTCATAAGCAGGGATATACAGAATGATCTTAAATGCCCCCAAACAGCCATTGGTGCAGAGAAATAAGAGCAAGCGTGAGAGCAGACACCTCGTTGGAGAAGTGCAGAGACGGCACACCCTGTGCACACAGCTTTCAAAACTGAAGGCTGGAGGTTTTTTCAGACACACAAAAGCTGAAAGAATTGCTCACCAGCTGACCCACACTGTAAGAAATGTGAAAGGGTGTCTTCAGGCCAAAGGAAAATGATACCAGATGGTAACACGGGTCCACAAAATGGAATAGGAGGCACAGGAAACAGAACTGCTGGGTTATAAACCCAAGGTCTGCTCTTACTGTTTGAATGTCTTTAGAAGATAGTTGTTTAAACAATGATAACCATGTATCGTGGGGTTTGTAACAGATGTAGAGGTCAGGGGTATGGCAACTCTAGCACCTAGGCCAGGACGGGGGAGATATAAGGGCCCAGTGGAAGGTTCCTGCATGTTCAATAAGTGGTGTCATGGTACTCAAAAGTTGTGCCAAGTACCCATTTATTGCCTCTAGGCTCCAAATCCACCCCTCCTTGGGAGCTCTGCATGAACGCAAGCCTCTCTATAGCACACGGTGTGCTGCCTGCCAGCAGAGGGCCCGGGAGGGACTTGGCAGGAGTAAGAAGATTCTGATCCCAGGGCTTCAGAGTTTAATTTGTTCCTGCTAACCACCACCAGAGGCCGAGAAACTCAGTGACCTTCTCCACCAACCAGGGGGCTGAACCATACCCTCTCCAAAGAGGCCTGAACCCCAGCTTTGGAGAGGGATCCCCATGTCTAAGTGCACTCTTCTGACACGTTCCGCTAGCCACGGAGTACCCTTCAGAGTCTTCTTTTCACCTTTATGGTCAATCCACTGTGGTAGTCAATTCTTCCTTATAAAAGTCTCTCAACTCAAACAAAAAAATTAAGCTAAAAATAGAAAAG